AATTATTTGGATGGTGATGAGTGTCTTTCACCTTTGTATTGTATTGAATAAAGTAGAGGATCAAAAACTCAATTTGTACCTGTAGCAAATAGAGGGTACTGGTTTTGGTACTGTTTTCTAAATGACACCCAGAGTTTTTCTACTCTGAAATGAGGGAAAATAACAGTAATAGTAACAGAAAGTCATTTTAAAACCAAAAATCATAACATTACAGTGAAACACACACAAACTATGCAACATCACTAGTTGGGGAAAACATTTAGCTATCGCCTTGGACATAATTGATGGAAATAGGAGTCATTATCAGAGACTTTAACCACATCCTCGAGAGAGTCAGAGAGACGGCGTCATTATATGGAGCCGGATGTGTGACCGCTCTTCCAAATGTTGGTTTTTGCTGTGTTTATTTATCTACCCGACCCACTCAGAGGTGACCCCAGGGGTGAGCTATGGGGGCAGGCGAGTGTGTTGCTTTGGACACACACACTTCAGGTTTAACATTTAGCCACAGCATCTAAAATGATCAACCCAGGAAAAAGGTGGAAAAATACCAGCCTCGTGTGGTGGAGAGAGGGAGAGAGAGGTGAGGGAGAGATAGACCAACTCTCTCACCTCTTGATTTTTACCGCACCCGAGGACTGAAAGGCAGGTCTGTTCTGCAGTGTTTGCTGCCTGCTGGCCACACACACACACACACACACACACACACACACACACACACACACACACACACACACACACACACACACACAGCGGTCCGTCAAAGCCCGTTCTGGTGTCCTATTTATAAAAGTACTCCCTGCTTCATAACATCAATTACACTATGGCAACCTGGTAGCAAAAAGTGGAAATATAAGTCTTTTGTGCCTCTGCTGTGACATGTTTACATACAAAAGGTATTTATTTTCCTCATACTGTCTGTGCTGCAGCACATCTTTTCACCCTGTGAGTGGTTTCACAATCCACCATTTTACTGTTTTGGTTTACTCTCTCCTTTCTCTCAAACCTAGCCCATACCTTTTTCAAATTATTTTAAAAATGCTTTACATTGAGTTTACGTGTTTGTGACACACATTTGTGGGATTTTATTATCTTAATCGAGGGGACTCCAATCCAGTTGGTGACATTAATATTATGTCCTCTCATAAAACCTCTCATACTCAGGATATTTCGGACAGATCATCTTTCAGACCATTCTTCAATCACGATTGTTTCAGAGTTGTTTCTAAACAAGGAGAAACTCTGGCGTTAAAATATTTATTAGTGACATGCTGAAACCTTAGTAGTAGCATTTGTTTGAAAAGTGTGACATATTCTAAAAAGTTAAAACAGTGACATGTGATTTTGATGAAAGTCCTAATCCTTTAATTTATTGACTCAATGTTTAATGTAAACATCCAGAGAAAAGCCCACACAATAATAATACTGCTTGATTTGTGGCTGCTCTGCCATGGCCTCTGTTCCTCGGCTCATGTCCACACCTCCTCCCCCTCAACAGTGAAATAAAGTTCGCCCACTCACGAGTAAAATGGGAAAGACAGGGATGGTATAACTTCATTGCTGGGGAATTTTAAACAGGGGAAAGTTGGCACCACTCAACATCTCAGCTCTACTAAATTCAGCCATGAATATTTCCAGGCTGTGGAAAAATGACCCTCTTCTCAATGCAGCAGAACTAAAGCTTTTGACAGAATTATAGGTGGATGTATCCTGCTTCCATATATCAGAGCAGGTTGAGTTTCAAGCTTTTTGTGACCCTGGAGGTGATTTTTTTTAAATATTCGCTGGTGGTTTTCAAGTGAGGAAATCCCTTGGGTCAGATGATGGATACAAAACTTTGTCTTGAATTCAGAACTTGTTGAACTTTTAAAATGATCAGATTCACAAACAGAGCTTTCCATGACTTATGAGTGGTCAAATACTCGAAAACACACACACGCACACACACACACCCCCCCACACTGGAGAGAAAGTCAGAGCCTATTTGAATGGACTTTCCTGCTGTCAGAATGTCTGGTATGCATTAGCCACAGACTCCAGTGGGATAGCTGGATCCACAGTATACACACACACACACACACACACACACACACACACACACACACACACACACACACACACACACACACACACACACACACACACAAAAGAGAGACACGTATAGAAAGTCACTCCCACAAGGGTCTAACACAGAAATAATTAAGTGTATTTGAGGAGATGCCTCAGAAACTATCCACTGTTAAAAGTTTTTGCCGAGTTCAAAATGGATGCTGGAAAATGTTTCCAGCATCCAAAGTTGCATTCCCATCTGGTTAAATGGGAAAGACATGTAGCTATTAATATATAGGCTTATGTGTAAGAAGACATATGCATGAAAGTAACCACAGCGTGCACACAGTGTTTTGCTTGAAACTCTTTCTATAAACGCGCTCTATGATCTCTATCTCACTCACCCTCTCTGTGTCTTTCCTCGCTTTTTTAAAACTCCATATAAAACTCTCCGCTCTCTTTTATTCTGTTAGCTTTGGCACAAAGAACAAATGTGTTTGTGTGTTGCAAAAACTGATTTGTGTGTTCATGTCTGTCTGTGCAGCTCACTCTGTGAAAATAAAAAATGATTTAGGGGACGTTCTGGAAAACAAATAATGTTTAACATCACTTTTTGTTTGTTTTCTTTTTGGTTTGAAAAATGTAATTTCTCTTCAGCACTGTTGACTGAGAAAACCCTCATGCTCTCATCAAGACCTCTTGCTTGTTTACACTCTCAAAAAGAAGTTGTGTTTAGAGGATAACAGTGAAGAATATGTCATAAGTTTAACTTTGTATGTACAAGCGGGGGTGGATTGAGGCGGGAGGATGTGGAAGTGATGGGAATTTTTTCCGCTTATTTTTTTAAACATTGCTTGGCAGAGTTTGGTCAGTGTGACCTCTGTGTTGAACCTTTCTGAAAAAACCATCATTAATTATTACCATTGAGCCCATCACATTTATTATCCTTTCAGCAATGAAGAAAGCTCAGCGTGATGACAGAAGCTTTGAGACTGAAGTCATAAACAGGGTTTATACTGGCAAATATCTGCTGTCATTTCTACAATTTCAACTCTGTCTCTGCCCACCAAATGTTGCTACTCCATTTCCTTGTTGAAAATGAAATTGACATCACACAAACCACCCTTGCAGTGGAGGGAGAGCTGGAGAAAGGCGTGCATGCTGGGATCAAAGAGGCTAGGGGACCACATGGCTCCCACAAAGCAGCACTTATCCAAAAACTGAATCAGTCACAGTCTGGACACAAAACCAATTTTACAGTACTCACAAACTCTTAAATATGAGCTCATTGCAGCTGGAGACTTGAAGACAAACACCTAAATCGTAGCGCCGAGAAATATAAGAAGCAGTTTCAGCACAGACCTGGGTTGACCTGTGATGTGACAGCTGCTAACAGGTAGAGGAGGATGAGGAGGAGGAAGTGGACGTCCCACAGGTGCTTCATCCCAAACACATGCACAGAGACAGGCCTACAATCTGAAAGACAAGATGGAAACAACAGGTTACAGACATGTGTGAAGAATGGTTTATTATAAAGTTGACTGAAAGGCTAAAACAGTGAGAGATATCTCAGTTTGTTGGCAAGAGGAACACTTTATTTTCTCCTCACTCCTCTGTGTTCATGGGAACCACACATTTGTTTGCATATACAAGAGGAAAGAAGGAGTTTAATTGGAAGCACGCTTTTTTATTCCACACAATAAAAGGCACAGTAATTGCCACCAATCTGAATTTTCCATTTATTTAGTGCTTTCTCACTCTATGAGAGACGGCCTATTAAATTCTAACAGTGGAGATATTTTAATAATAACCATACAAGAAAGAATAGTTCATATGTAATTAAAATGAAGCCTCATTATTTGACACATGACAAAGTAATTAAAGGAAGAAATTATGAATAAATCAATTATGAATGACGGAGAGAAAGAGAAGTAGAGACACTGAGTCACAGACATGACTTCAGCCGAAGGGACGCAGCGCCAACCAGCCGCCTCCAACAACCAAACTGACCACTTAGTCCAACAACTCAGCAAAACATTTACTTTCACAAGAGTAAAGTTAAGAAAAAAAAGAATAAGAATGACCTGCATACACCCTAAGGAACATCTCATGTGTATAGTCACCAACATTATCAAAACAACTTCCACTTAGTTTGCTTCATAAGAAGCCCTGTTATACTTTTTGGGGTTTTCCCTGTAGTGTGTTATATAGGTTTTTGTGCATATAAATGGTCGGCAAAGGCTAAAATCCCAAAGTTCCCTCCAGAGGGAGTTTCTCTCCCACACACTCCCCCCCTGCCTGAAACGCTTCCATTGGACTCCTTTGTTTAATAACAGTACATAATGACATCACTATGTAAAACTTGCGCTTCTATTGGCTAACGCTCCAAGGTGTGAGGCGCCGGGCGGGTGTGGGGATACTCACAAACCCCCGGTTGGGTGCTTCTTTGTTGGAGTTTACCCCAGTGGACGAGAGGGTCGCCTCCCTATGCCTGCGGGTTATGGGGGGGAAAACTCTGACTGTTGTGTGTGCTTCATACATCAGTTCAGAGTATTCAGCCTTCTTGGAGACCCTGGAAAGAGTCCTGTATGGGGCTCCTGAAGGGGACTCTTCAATCTTGCTGGGAGACTTCAACGCACATGTGGGCAATGATGGAGACACTTGGAGGGGAGTGATTGGGATTGAACCGGAGTGGTGGTTTGTTACTGGACTTCTGTGCTAGTCATGGATTGGCCATAACAAACACCATGTTCGAACATAAGGATGCTCATAAGTGTACGTGGTACCAGAGCACCCTAGGCAGAAGGTCCATGATTGATTTCGTTATCGTATCANATACACACACACACACACACACACACACACACACTCATTTAACATCACATGAAGACAACGAGAGATGAGTGAAACCTGACAGTTTCAGTTTACAAGAAAAGAGGAGCTGAACAGAAATGATGTACACACACACACGCACACACACGCACACACACGCACACACACACACACACACACACACACACACACACACACACACACACACACACACACACACACACACACGTGCTTCATGGTTTGTTTAACCTGATAATGAGTTAGTGTGTGTGTGGGTGGCTTATCCTTCAAGGTTTATTTGCAATAAGCCACAAACTGGGGTTCTACTTACAGCCACATCATTAAGGAGGCGTGTGTGTGTGTGTGTGTGTGTGTGTGTGTGTGTGTTAACTTGGGTGGCCTTCAGTGAGTATCAGTATAATGATGTAATACACTTTCCCCATCCATCTGGCTGTGTGTTCCGTCTCGACTCACTCTTAAGTCCCCTTCCCAAAATTAACACTTTAAGATGAATTTAAGGCGCAGATGTTTTTATAACCGGCTTTAAGTCCTGAAATCCACAACCGCACTCACTTTAACTTTCCTCTCACCTTTCCCCCTCCATTCTGTCCTAATTCTTCTTCCAGCTTTCTTCCCCTGCTGTAATTCTAATATGAACATCCACCCTCCGTTTCTCTCAGGTTGGACTTTGAGGAGGGCGATGGCGCTTGGTGTCCAGAGATAACAGTGGAGCCAGACAGCCTGAAGGAGTTTCTCCAGATCGACCTGCGCTCGCTCCACTTCATCACCCTCGTGGGCACCCAGGGGCGTCATGCGGGCGGCATCGGAAACGAGTTCTCCCAGATGTACAAGATTAAGTACAGCCGCGATGGAAGCCGCTGGATCTCGTGGAGAAACAGGCAGGGCAAGCAGGTGAGTCCTATCAGTCAGAGGTAAAACAAGAGTTTTCCTGGCTTTGATATCACTCTTTAATCAATTTGACCTTTAAAACAAACTTCCGATAAAGATGCCACGGTGTACTGATACTCATCATCCGTCCGTTGCTTTTATAGCTTGTCATTGTTTTTGCCTGGTATCACTGTGTTTATGGTCGCAATAGAGATTCATTAATTCTTCACTACCTATAAATGATATGAGGAGGTCATGATTCATTCTTAATCATTAGGGAGCTTCTGCATGAGGTCAAGGTGTGTTTGTCCTCCTGCAGGTGATTGAAGGAAACAGGAACGCGTACGACATCGTGCTGAAGGACCTCGAGCCGCCAATCATCGCTCGCTTCGTCCGCTTCATGCCCGTCACCGATCACTCCATGAACGTCTGCATGAGAGTGGAGCTCTACGGCTGTGAATGGCTGGGTAAGAGGAGGAAAGGAAAATATATAAAAAGACAGGAGATTAAAAAGATTATAAGTGAGGAGGAGGAGGAGGAGAGCAAAGATGACACCTGAGCCCCAGTCTACCTTTGAGCCCATAAAGATATAAGGGATCAGCTGATCCTCTATACCCTTTACAGCTGCATACATTACACTTTCGTTTCTAGATTTCCCAGAAACATAAGCCTTACATAACTTTATCAATATAACACAAAGAAATGAAATAAAAATACATACAAAATACAAAAATACAACAAATGTATGAATAGAAACAATAATAATCTTTCTCCTGACTACATATTGAATCACCTTTTTAAAGTTACTGAGATTTATTTGAAACATACAGCATTTTGATAACATTTTTGAACAAACAGCACAATAACCCATAGAGTCCCAAAAGTTGCGTTGTAAAGCGCTCTATAGCTGAAAACTGAAATGAACCCATGCCGACAAAAATTATGATATTCAGCAAGTAACAATTTGAGTGATGATTACAAAAATATTGCATGCTTTGGTAAGTTTATTTGAGTACAAAGGAAAAAGGACGTTGGTTGCTTTTTAGGTATTATCAGAAAATCACATGAAACAGAAAATATCATATGATTTTGGGTATAGAAACCTGGTAAAAATGAAACTTCAATCAAAGCAGAAGAGATGGAACAAAAACTGTCAGTGGTGTAAAAGCGTGGCGTAAGTTTTGAAAAAAGCAGACGTCTTGAAATTATTCCCTGAAAGCTGAAGCTTTGTGGGCAGATTGTCAGTCCAATACTAGTGTCACCAGGCCCTCTAATCAACTGTTCTTCATACTGTCTGAAAACATCACATAGTTTGCATATTCTGTATATGTATATCATGTAATTTATTTCAGAAACACTTTTTGTTATAGTCCATGGAATGATCTTAACATCCCGATAGCAATGAATATCTTAAATGCTTCGACAATAAAATACAAATATTTCATCTGTGGAAGCCGTGGCGCTGTAAAAAGCACGACCAATCATTTTAGCCGGCCCGGCTAAAGTAACTGGATGGCCTACCTGCCTGTCAGCCTTCCATCTCGTGCACAAATCTATCTCGTGCCCTCATTGGTCATGTGCGCGTTCGTGTGTGTTGGAGGAGGGGCTCTGTAAGGAAGTGGCAGATTTTTTCCAGATGTGTATTTTCAAATTCTAGCGCACACGGGCTGGTTTCTCCAAAATTACCTACCCCACCTTTAATGGAAAAATTATACCTTTTCTCTGTGCATCGTTTTGTAAATATATGTCGCCGTAGATATCTTTAAAAACATAATTTCCACCACGGTTTCGAAGAATAAAAACCTTCTTTGGGTCAACATAGTAATTTCCTTGCACAGCGTAGGGAATGATGGACTCATTGTAAACATCATTTTAGCAATTTTCTTTGCTCTACAGATGGTCTCGTGTCGTACAACGCTCCAGCAGGAGAACAGATGAACTTGCCGATTCATCCTGCGTCTCTCAACGACTCTGTCTATGATGGAGCGGTCATCCACAGGTGTGTGTGTGTGTGTGTGTGTGTGTGTGTGTGTGTGTGTGTGTGTGTGTATATTATTCCATACTTCCTCTTTCACACACCACTGCACTGCTTCACCATTGCTCTCATTCTGAGTCAGTGCGTTTTCTCCTCACATTGTTGATGCCCTGTCTCCATGGTGAAAGCAAAGAGACAGCAGGCGTTGGTGGGTCATTGTGGTTTTCTTAGTTAGGCAACACCTCATAGGAATGACTGAGTCAACCCTCTTTATGAACTTTAGACACTGGATCAAATTAATCACACTTTTTTTGACAGAAGTGTTTACATTATAGCATTGTGAATAAAGTCCTCCACAACACAATAAGGCCTCCTTCTTTCTGAGGTGGCAACAGGGCAGAGGGGAAATAAAATGGCCAGCAGCAGATGTGAGGAATTGGTTTTACAATGCTGCCATCTAGTGGTAAATGATAGCACCAAGCATTTTTCTCAATTTGGATTTTTTTTGTCAGAGCATTATATAAATAAGGCATTGCTCAAGACTGAATATTGAAATAAGCTTGAAAATAGACATAAACAGTAAATATACAGTAAATATTGTTGCATAAACGTATATGTTGCCTGTTACTGCTGTACATATTTAAGGTTGCTTTTTATAGTTTTGGGTCTACAGTGATTCATCATATTCTATCAATATTACCAAGCATTGCTAACACTGACAGATAAAGCACAACTTTTTAGAGTCCAGAATGACAGTAGTGAAGTAGAAGAGAGCCTGAAAATGGAATACTCAAGTAAAGTACGAGTACCTTAAATGTAAAACTAAGTACAGTAATTGAGTAAATGCACCTAGTCCCGCTGTTGTATTTTATGCATCTCTTTTAACCTTCCCTTGTTTCTCAGTATGACGGAGGGCTTGGGCCAGCTGACTGATGGAGTGTGTGGCCTGGATGACTTCACACTCAGTCACGTCTACAATGTCTGGCCCGGCTATGACTACGTGGGTTGGACCAACGAGAGCTTCCCCAGTGGATATGTTGAAATCATGTTTGAGTTTGACCGCATACGCAACTTCACTACCATGAAGGTGAGAATCCTGAACATACAAGTTTACATCTTTCATCTGAAGTAAAAGTCTCCCCACATGTGGCTTTATCTTCTTCTTCTCTAAGTTTAATGACGGATTGCAAACATCTTTAAGGTGCATACTGCCACCTACTGTACAAGAGTGAAACATCGTGTCATTTCAACATCTTAGACATTCATGTATAGATCAACATTTTAGATGTGCCCTAAGAAACCCTGTGTCACCTGAGAAAGTACTGTAAATAGAGCCTTACTGATGGTTGTGATGTGTAGACCGGTTTTTACAGTATACATTTCTTTGAGTTGATGTATGTCAAATGATTGAAGTTTTGATACTTACTACTGTACATATAAAGTGCCATTTAATCCTGTGAGATTAACTCTGAGTCTAGTTATGACCATATCCTCCCTTATGTTCCTTTCTTTATAGTTTGTTGTATGACTGACTCTATTAATCTGTTTTACCCCTTCCTTACTGGTCTTCCTCCCACCTTTCCTGTCTTGTGTCAGGTCCACTGCAACAACATGTACTCGCGGCACGTGAAGGCTTTCCGCCAGTTGTTGTGTTTCTTCCGCTCTGAGGCAGACTGGGAGGCCTCGCCGCTCTCCTTCATCCCCGTGGAGGACGAGAAGAATCCCAGCGCTCGCTTCATCACCGTCAACCTGTTCAATAACATGGCCAGCGCCATCAAGTGCCAGTTCTACTTTGCAGACGCCTGGATGATGTTCAGCGAGATCACCTTCCAGTCAGGTATACTGTGTGTATTATCTGTTGCTGTAGTAAGAAAGTATTTTTCCTTTATATATATATATATATCTTCTTTGACACCCCTAAGTTTATATACTTATGCAAAATAAAAATGTATTTGGAAATATTTTCTGTATAAAAATATTTCATTACTTATTATTTTTATTATGATGTTATTGCTAAGAATATTATTATTAAGGTCCATTTTGTGGCCTTCAGATGTATGATGAAACATGTATTGTCTGTCCTTCAGATACAGCCATGTACAACACAACGCTGACTACAACCAAGACAGGACTGCCTCCTAACATACTACCAGGTCAGTGATCGCTCCACACTCACACACTTTATGAAGGCCTTCATTAACCATTACGTGACATGCATGGCTAATATAACAATATGACATATTGTTGACAACATGCAGACACAACAAATAAGCACTGAAGTTGTTATCCTGAAAATGCAGGAGAGTATGAAGACAAAAAACAAGAGACCAAATTTAAATTAAATGAAAACATTACATAGTTAATGTTTAGGTGTTCGAATGCAAAATACAATAAATGGAGATAACCTTCCCTTTGTAAATAGTAATCTACCTTTTTTATGAAAATCCTAATGGCCTTGATAGAGGTTTTATCACCGCAGGCATTTGAATTTGTCACAGCAGGGAAAGCACAGGTGGAACTAATCCCATCATTGTCTCTTTTCCACTCAGCATTCATAAATAGCCTTGTCCATGATTTGGCTCATCTAAATAAAATGAATCCAGTATTTTTAAGTCACACTACCTGCTGACACATATTCTGTGTTTCACAAAAGTCCTTTGAACATTTACTTACTTTAATATCACTTCGTTCAGTCATATTGATTAGTAAATATATATACATATATATGTATATAAGGACTGATGTATTGAAAGGTTCATTATCATCTCGAATGTTCACGCATGCATATTATATAATGTATCTCCTCCTGTTCCCTCCCCAGAGGACGACCCCACCCACAAAATCGATGACAGCAACACCCGGATCCTGATTGGCTGTTTAGTGGCCATCATCCTCATCCTCTTGGTCATCATTGTCATTATCCTGTGGAGGCAGGTGTGGCAGAAGATGTTGGAGAAGGTGAGCCAATCACTGATGATGCAAAATATATCAAAATTCCATTGAATCTTCTTTCGGGAGGTGGTCAGATCTGTTCCTTCACCCCCCACATCCTTTATTCTAGGCCTCTCGCCGGATGCTGGACGATGAACTAACTGCTAGTTTGTCAATACAGAGTGAAACGTTCGCCTACAACCACAACCAGTCGAGCACAATCAGCGAGGAGGAGTCTAACGCCACCTACGAACGTATCTTCCCGCTCGGCCCGGACTACCAGGAGCCTTCACGCATCATATGTAAACTGCCGGAGTTTTCTCAGAGCTCAGAGGAGTCTGGTAGGTGGACGGATGGGACTGCTTGCTTACGTATAAACTCAGATAAACCTCATCCTGTCGAGTGTTAAACTGTATTTTGTGCTGTGTATGGTGAGTTTTGCTTTAAATTCTGGTATAAAAACCAATTCTCAAACATTCTAACTAATGTAATTGATGTTATCTAAAAAAACATTTTAGGAAAGTTTCAGTTGATTTTCATATTGTGTTGAACGTAATTAGACAAAGTATATGAGGAACTGTGGCCGTTTCTCAATCTCGAGGATGCTGGCTTGGTAGTCGCGTACTTCCAAGTCACTTCCTTCAGAAATGAAGCAAGTATGCTTCCAAGCCACGGCTTCGGAAAAAGAAGAAGAATGGAACAGGCTAACAAGTGTGCCACTCTCTCTAACGGTTTCAACATAAAATGTACCGAAAATAAATACCTCACGATGTCTATCTAATTATGAACTTGCTTTACTCTCACGGAACACATTTTTGATGATAACAAATGTAACAAAGTAACATTTTTACCAACACATGTTCTACGCCACTACATACTACTTAAATGTGTGCTGCGTCGGTTCAGCCATTCTCCGCAAGGGTTTTTGAAATTGGTCCGTGCGCAAAGCATTGTGGGGATTTTAAGGACACGAAGTCTACCCATGTGCAGCCTCGAGAAATTTCCCCCAAACCAAGGACGCGGCCTCGGTGGAATTCCAAGTATGCTGGAGATTGGAACAGTCCTTCGGCGGCACTCGATGACGTAGCATCCTTGAAACATTGGCTTGGAAGCCAGTATCCTCGAGATTGAGAAACGGCCTCTGTCTGTCTCCTTGACCAACCCTGCCCCCAAAATTAGGAAAGATGGCAAACATAAACTGGATACATCTTTCCATCTGTTAACAGCTTCTCTTTATCAAAACAATGATGGAAAGTCATCAGTAACAAATTGCTGGAAAAAGTTATATAAAGATTAGAAAAACAATATCGCTTAAAGGGTCTGCGGTTTCCCCAGTTGATATGTTGAAGGTTAAATACATTATCAACATTATCTTGTTCCTCTTAGTTACATTTTCCATGCTGTGTTCCAGCTTCTTCCAGCACAGCAGCGTCTAAATCCACCTCAACGACTGCAGTGCAAGATGGCGCCCCTCACTACGCAGAGGCCGACATTGTGAACCTGCAGGGTGTGACAGGAAGCAACACGTACGCCATCCCTGCGCTGACTATGGACCTGCTGTCAGGGAAGGACGTTGCCGTGGAGGAGTTCCCCCGAAAGATGCTCACGTTCAAAGAGAAGCTGGGAGAGGGCCAGTTTGGAGAGGTTTGAACCCTTTATCAGTTTGCTGCAAGTTTTCTGACAGATCTAGATGCTTAGTTATATATGATGCTTTCCTCTGCTTCCTCTTTCTCTCAGGTGCACCTGTGTGAAGCAGACGGGATGCAGGAGTTCATGAATAAAGAGTTTTTATTTGACATCCCCGTGGATCAGCCAGTTTTAGTGGCTGTGAAGATGCTCCGTTCAGACGCCAGCAAAAATGCAAGGTATTGATTTCAGGATTAGCCTGTACTGAAACTGAAAATATATCTTGAAATCAACATGTTGAAGTAATAACATTCTGATGTATTTCTTTGTGAAATAAGTTGTTTACAGTACTTTTTGTCTTTTGGTAGGAATGACTTCCTGAAGGAGATAAAGATCATGTCACGTTTGAAGGATCCCAACATCATCCGCCTGCTGGCTGTGTGCATCCACAGCGACCCTCTCTGTATGATCACAGAGTACATGGAGAACGGAGATCTCAACCAGTTTCTGTCCCGCCACGAGCCCGAGGGACAACTCGCTCTGCTCAGCAACGCACCTACTGTCAGGTGAGTGGTGGTGAACACACTAGATCTCTATATGTAGGTCTATTTTTTTCAATCCACAACACACAACCCTGTTTCCTCTCTTTTTTCTCCAGTTTCAGTAATCTGTGCTATATGGCGGCTCAGATAGCAACGGGGATGAAGTACCTCTCCTCTCTGAACTTTGTCCATCGAGACTTGGCCACGCGGAATTGCCTGGTTGGTAAAAACTACACGATAAAGATTGCTGACTTTGGCATGAGCAGAAACCTGTACAGTGGGGACTACTACCGCATCCAGGGCCGAGCCGTGCTGCCGATACGCTGGATGTCATGGGAGAGCATCCTGCTGGTGAGCACCACTACTTAAAGGAATATTTCACCACAAAAATGACCATTTGTTTACCAATCAATCAACCTCAGTTACCCTTGATTCTTGAAGAAACTGTTTTTCTCGCATGGCTCAACAGTAAATGAATAGTCTGAAAACAGAGAATATATTTGATAAAGGAAGGAAACGGGGACACGGTTTAACAAAAGCGAAAATATATCACAACATCTGTTTACAAACTCACACTGCAGAATAATTTAGTCATTTATTCACTCTCATGCTTACTAGTTTTTGTTGACCTTATCGCTTAAGCAATACTATGTACAAAATTGAAAAGTCAAGCAAACATGCCTGTGATTGGGAAGTAGTGGGCAACAAGACTTGGACTATAATGCACGAGTTGTGTGTGAGTTTATAAACAAAAGTTTGGTGTAGTTTTCAGTTGTTGAAGATGGCCATTTACTTACATTTATCAAGAAATGTCTCCAATATTTATGATTCTTCATTCCCGTTGGAGGTGAGAAAAACATGTTTTCTTTAAGAATGAAAAGTAACATGGGATGAATAATGGGGGTACATTTTAAGGATATGACTTTTATCACACACTAAAAATACTTTTTTCTTGCCAATCTCATGGACATATCAACACCTTTTGTTGTGCAGGGTAAGTTCACCACAGCCAGTGATGTGTGGGCCTTCGGGGTGACTCTGTGGGAGATACTGAACTTCTGCAAGGAGCAACCCTACTCTCAGCTCACTGACGAGCAGGTGATAGAAAACACAGGGGAGTTTTTCAGGGACCAAAAAAGACAGGTGAGTGTTGTTCCAAACATTTCACATACATATAAAGGTCTGCGTATCTGTGGCTTAACTTGTTGACTCCTTCATGCAGATCTACCTGCCTCAGCCTGTGCTGTGTCCGGACTCGCTCTACAAGATCATGCTGAGCTGCTGGAGGAGGAACACAAAGGAAAGGCCCTCCTTCCAGGAAATACACCGAGCCCTCCTGGATATACAGCCTTAATCTGGGGCAATATTTAAGACAGTGTTGGTGCAAGACAAGAGTAAACTATGATTCAAACACAATCCAGGTTAGAGCTATCATATTTCAGTAGAGAAATATGATGAGAGCCTCCTGCTACGACTGTTTCATGGACTCTACAAACATGGACTACCAAAGACTTTTGATGTGTCTCAGTTTGAGTTTAATCGGCACAATCACGTTAGCTAAGGTGTTTTATAGACATACAAGTATTCTCAAGGTTGTGAGGTGTGTTGATGAAGCCAAAAATTAAATGTAGCAATTGACATTCGGCACTTTTAAAAATGTATTTTATTTTCATTTTATCATTTCAAATTTCCCATGTAACAGTGTTTGATTACACTGTTGAAAAACTTGTGTTTTCTTTGGAAGACTGCTTGAATGTAGAGAGTGAAAGGTGGAGCCAACCATTACGGTTGCATTTCAAACATTTCATCTCAGTTTTAAAGCTCCACTCATTGAGAATATCATCAAGTATCTCAGTGTTTCTCATCTCCCTGCAGTCTTTCATCTGTGATTTGAACATGAACTGTACATGACTGTGTTTGTTTAAAAGATACGTCTTAATCTCAAATAACAATATTTTGTATTGATATTTATATGTTTAAATTTGTTTTTCTGTTCATCTTTCGTCGCTATATTTGTAAATTAATATTCTCTTTAAATTGACGTGTTTGGAGCATCATATTTTATGTGGTTCTGTAACTTTCCTGCTCACTTTTGGGATCTACCAAACATTTGTTCTTTTCTACTTTCAACTGTTATCATTTTGCATTCATCACAAACTAATATCACAATTTGATAGGTGATCAGATGTTGCAACATGCTTATTTTGAACACAGGCTGTGTTTTGATATGTTGGTTTAAAGGGGCCCTGTTATGCTTTTTCTGAGATGTCCCTTTCCTGTAGTATGTTATATAGGTTTTTCTGCATGTAAATGGTCTGCAAAGGCTAATATCCCAAAGTTCACTCACATTGTACTTGACAGGCTAAGGGGCGGGACATCTCTAAGTGGTTGACGAATCACAACAGAGTCGGCCAGCTAACCAATCAGAGCAGACTCTGCTCTGGTTTCAGACAGAGGGTGAAAAGAGGTGCTGCAGCACAGGCACAATAGGAAAAATAAAGACCCTTTTCAACATTAAAGCATGGAAACTGAAAAGTAGCATAATGGGGCCCCTTTTAATAATAGGCTATGTGTCATTAGGAAGGTGCTAGCGAATGTGTTGTGAGTGTTGAAGAAGTGAATGCCTGCTTATGGTTCGATTACGTTGACAAAGAAAGTGTATTTCCTTTTTAAATGAGAAAGGTGAAGAAAATGTAGAAATACAACCAGCCGAAGACTCATCTGCAATTTTAGTTATAGTTTGTTCTTTCTTTTGTTGATGTATACTGGAGTCGTTTCTCTTATTTCCTCATACTTCTGTGTATAACTATCTACTAGCTTGAATTTAATACTGCATACCACTGTTGTTTTTCAGCCACTTCAGCTGTATTTTACAGGCTCTCCCCTCTTATCAGAGGCCTTTGTCCCACTCACCTTCTCCATAAAAGAGACTCATATCTGCCGTTATGTGTTTCAACTTTTATGTGTCCTCCATATCTCTCTGTGTGAGGTGAAATAATCTTTATGTCTAAGTTAACCATGATATGCATTTTGGATACCCATTTGATCGATGTGAAGCATTTGGTGATTCCCATTGGATAAATTAATATCTTCACTAAATGTTTTATTTTCTCTTTTTTGAATTAAATGACTATAGCAGATGTATAGTTGTAAAAGTGTAGTGGCACCCCAACAGATTTCACAATTGGTTTAATTACACATTTGTACTCAACGCTTTTCAGTGAAAATGATTCTAAATATGTTGTACATTGGTTGAAAAAACACAAATAAAAATTAAACTGGGAACTCTATCTCTTTAAGAAGTATTGCTTCATTCCTATCTTGACGCTGAGTGGGCGGTGCTTCCTGCTGAGCAACATGGAGTCAACCTCTCATTGGCTGATCGCTGCTGCAGTGTCCAATCACATCAATGGGGAGGGGTAAAGGGCATGAGTCCACATCCTCGGAAAAACCGGACTTGTTGCCTTGTGTAACTTTTTAACAACATTTGGTCGTACATTTTGTGTTTTTGGTTTGCAGTTTTGTTTCTAGTTTGTACAAGAGAAGATGAATAAGGTGGTGTTGGTGACTGGCGCTAATAGGTAATGTCTGGCATCTTAGGTGTGATGAATTCATGATATGAGTCTTCTAGTTTATTTGTAGCTGTTGTTTTTGATCAGAAGCAGAACCGGTTTTATTATTATAAAGTAGTCTTACACAAACAAGGAAATGGTGCCTACAAAGACACAGACAAAATAAGATAATATAATACTACTGAAGAAACTATTTGAAAAGAAAACTATTTTAAAGACTGTTGTTATCATTAAAGACCATATTTTCCTAGGACGTGTAGGAAACTGATCTTTATGTCAACTTTTGAAACCTCCCTGTCAAGAAATATCTAGCCCAACTACCTGTATCATTTTGTACATTAAAGTATTTTGCTTATAAATGCAATCTGTAAATGCCTTCATCATATGTTTTTCATTACATTGTTTGTGCGTCTCCCTGCAGTGGCATCGGCCTGGGTCTGTGTGAGCGGCTCCTGCAGGACAATGAGAGCCTCCAGCTGTGTCTGGCCTGCAGGAACATGCAGCGGGCTCAGGCTGCCCGCTCCGCCCTGCTGACCTCTCACCCCTCAGCTCAGGTGGCTCTCCTGCAGATGGACACCAGCAGCATCTCCTCCGTCCTTGCTGCTGCACAGGAGGTCAAGCTCAGGTGGGAGGTCATAAATAAACACTTAAACACTCAGGAGATTCGCATAAAAGCACACAAATGAACACACTGGTGGTGCTTAAAGCTAAGGTAATACAACAGTAAAAGAGACAGAATAAATGTTGGTCTTATTAAGACTGAGAAAGATGTTTTTTATACTTTCTGTCACACAAAGTAAGCATTTGCATATCAATGTGCCTCAATTTGGACCATCACTCATAACAGAAATACAGCCAGGATGCAAAGATTAGCCTGTATAAACTGAATGAATACATAGACAGTAAAGCAATTATGTCATTACTTCAACAGATATACACACAACAGCATGGTACACAATACGCATTCAAATCAAAAAGACATCATTATAGTACATGTTCATCCATAGACAATGTGCTATATGTGTGTTTCAGAAATCTGTGTGAATTGTCTCCTGCAGGTATAACCGGCTGGACTGCCTCTACCTGAATGCAGGCATCATGCCAAAACCACAATTCGATGTAAATGCATTTTTCAAAGGTGTTTTCTCCAGGTACTTTTTACGTTTAAAGATTCTCCAAATTGATAAGCTGCGTAATATTTATATGCTTAACATGTCCAGTCTATATCAAGATTTAAAATGAATGTATTTAAAACCTTTCCTATGATGCCTTTCAAAGCTTCTCTAACTTTGTTATTTTTTGCAGTGGTATCATCACGATGTTTACGACAGGTCAGGGGATCCTTACACAGAAGGACTGCGTCACCGCTGACAGCCTGCAGGAAGTTTTTGCAACAAACCTCTTTGGTCACTTTTTATTAGTGAGTACTTACTCTTATGCCTCCTGAATTATCTGGTATATGTTTTGAACAACAAAGAATCTAATACAAAACCAGATTTCCTTTAGTTTTCTGAATGACAGTAATACTTTAACTGTTTCCCCTTGATGGGATCAGTATAGGTGACACTGGATCCGTCTGTCACTTAGCAACGATGCTCATTAAAAATTAACAGGACTGTCCTGGGCTGGAGGACGCTGCGGAGCGTATCGAGCTTACTGTGCATTAGCAGATTAAAGATTCATTCTGACTCGTATTAAGTTTCCATCACAGACAAACGTCCTCAAAGCTCCTCTCTAGTAAAAATCTGCCTTTGCAGCTGTATTAAAAAAACTTTTCATTACAGCTCAGAGACATACATTTTTTTTTTTTAGATGGTATTTTTGAAACATTTAACCACATTTGGGAGGAATTGAACTTCCCTGATCAGTTTTAGGAATCTGAAATGACTTTAGTGATACTAGATACGAAAGGAGATGCCATTGTCGTTGCAACTTAAAATCTCTATTATCTTTTTAAAAGAAGTGTTATGTACTAATTTCTTGAGGCCTATGCAGTTACACACACTTTATATTGTAGTCTTAACAAAGATGATAGATATATTTGAACAACATTGTAAGTATGATTTACACATCAGCTCAAATAGCTTGCTATGGTTAGAAACAAACAAAAAGGGTTTTGTAAAATAAACATATGTTACCGCTCGTCCTGGGGCCTACAACAATTTACTAAACCTAAAGCACAAAAAATATAATAAACTAAATTCCGAATGGAGCGACAAATGTACGAGGGAATAAGGAATTTGCTTCTACAATCTTAACATAAAGGTGTGTAAATTGCATTGTAAGAGATATTAGTAAGATACAGTAATATCATCTGTTTCCCACACAAAATGTTTTCCATTCTGCCTTGTTTCAAGACAAACTGCTGGGGAAACAATGAAGAAGTTCCTCATTGTTTCATGAAATAGTATCACCTGGCTGAAACTGAGCATCAATGAATTGCTAAGATCTATTTTTTGATGATTATTATAATGTTGTGTTGTTTTTCTATGTCCAGATCAGGGAGCTGGAACCAGTTCTGTGTGATGCCGGCCACACATCCCAGCTGATCTGGACCTCCTCAAGTAACGCTCACCGCCCGGCTTTTAACCTCGAAGACATGCAGCACCAGAGAGGCACACAACCTTACAGCTCCTCCAAATATGCCTCGGACCTGCTCAGCCTCGCGCTCAACACACACCACAACAAACAGGTCGACTCAGAAACACACCTCACATGCTGTGTACCCATACTTGCAAAATTAACTTTTTTCTTTTAACTCCAATGATGTCTATAAATGTGATCACGTGTTCATTCTGCTCTCCAGGGTTTATACTCATCTGTAATTTGTCCTGGTTTCGTGATGACCAATATGACCTACGGTATCCTGCCCTCATTCCCAGCTTTCCTCTGGACCCTGCTCATGCCTGTCTTTTGGCTTGTGAGTGCATCTCTGACAGTAAAATGTCAGACACACACACATCAGAAATGATTTTGGTTGTTTCTGAATGCATTTTTCTTTCGTGATCTCAGATAAGGATATTCTGCAACAACTTCACCCTGAACCCTTATAATGGATCTGAAGCCCTGGTAGGTAAATCAAATATTTCTGATTTCATGCACAATTGTGTACAAATTAAATCATGATTGCTGCTCTTTCTTGTAGTTCTGGCTCTTTAAGCAAAAGCCTGAATCACTGGACCCTCAAGCTAAGTACCACAGCTCAACATCTGGGCTAGGCAACAACTACATACAGCCACGCAAGGTATGGCAAAGAATACTATACAGTACATTTCATTTAAAACAATCTTGTAAAATAGTTAATGTTGTGTGTTGTCTGTTCCCCTCTGCAGATGGATATTGATTTGGAAACATCCGAGGCATTGTATGAGCAACTACTGCAACTAGAAAGTGAAGTAAGAAAGAAACTAAAAGGGAAACAAAAATAATCCTGGAAAGTTCACAGCCGTCCTGCAGGATCTGGATCATCATGGTGCTTACAGGATGACACGATTCTGGGATGGAGACTATTGTATTTCGGTCTGGTGATTTGGGACCAGCATGTACGCTAACAGAAATAGCTTTGTCCTTTGCCTGACACTGCAACATACAAGAATGAATTTACAGTTCAAATCAACAAGTTACAGTGACTCTACTCTCTAAATGAAATGTCTGTTATGGACAAAGAATTATGGAGCCTATGTTATGATGGTTTAACAATAAACTCACTTTTGCCTGTTCTTGTCCAACTTCTTGCAAGTCAATTCATTCCATAAAGCACTATAACATATGAGGATAACGACACGTGTGCAGTGGGTGTGCATGGATGGTAGGCTAGGTCACAATCTGTCTATCCTTTGCTGTCCAGGAGGGACTGTGTCCAATGTGGTTGTTAATGCCATGATCCTCACGGCAAAATGCATTGCAGTCTGACATCAGACTATCGGTATCATCCCAAAAGTTGACATAAGTGGTCTGTGTGAGCCCCTCTGCGGTGTACGGCGGTGCCGGCAGATGCGTACAGACGCACCTGAAATTCCTCTCCGGAGGATTTGGAGCGCTAAACCAACAGTCGTCCCCGGGTTCCGCTGCTTGTTTCACGACCACACACTCCTCCTCTGCTCCGCTCAGTTTCGGGTTGCAAAAAGCCCAGACCATCCCGCAGAAATAGACGAAAAACGAGCCCATTACCATGACCATGAGCGCGTAGGACTCTATCATTGCTTTGGTGACTGGAGAAGTCATCTTCGGCTGCGCAATCACAATAATCGACTGAGTTGCCTAAGTGTGTTCAGGAGGGACTGGCTGTACCCGGAGGGTTGGACCTCTTCAACAGAGGTGGGAAGTAACTAACTACATTTACTGTACTTAAATACAATTTAAGAATATTATCTACAAATGTCACTTGTATAAATAATAGTTATTGACACACATAAAGGCATTTTGTGCACAATGATACTTTTACTTGTTATACTTTAAGTAGCCTGCATTTAGTTGATAATACTTTTGTACTTTTACGCAAGTAAGACTTTTAATGCAGGACTTTTAACTGTGATGAAGTATATTGATAGTAATGTATTGGTACTTTTACTCAAGTAAAGCACCTGAATACTTCTTCCACCTCTGCACTTTAGCACCATCAGTTCAGTAACGTGAGGAGGAGAAAGAAAATAAATGACCGATTTTGTTGCCACATTTCTTATTGACAGAGGTGGAAGAAGTACTCTTTTCCCTTAAGT